TGCCGATCCGCTCACTGGAGATAACCCACCTGTAGGATTTGCGTGCCGACGTCTTCCAATGCTGCTACACGGGGGTGTAATCCCCACGACATAATGACCCATCCTAAGTCCAAGCTCACTCTCTAGCTGCACAAGTCCATTCACCCCTCGTGGACATCAATTAAGTGCGCGGCAACATCCTTCCAATTCAAAGTTAGGTTGTATCCTTCTTCATTTCAAGTAGCTCCTTTCCGTTATATCAAATCTCCTGCCGCATAATAGCCCATACTTCAAATTAGATCCGTAGACCCCAATCATCAATCACTAAAATTCCCAAGTCGTTCCAAACTCTCCTTAAGGTGCATAGTCATCCTAATACAAAGCCCATATGCAACTCTGCCACTCTCCCACTTTGGCGGAACTCACCCCTCTAATCGACTACTCGACCTTTGCTTCTTATACCTGGCCTTCTAGAAATTAACTACGCCTGNCCATATGTCCCTTCTCGTCTGTTGCCGCTCAGTTGTTGCCTTAATTAGAATCTATCTTCGGGCATTTGAACCCACAATTGCTGCTAACCCTAAACCCTTGCGAAGGTCATCTTTCTCAAACAGTCAAAATTAGAAACACTGATTCAATCCTAAACCACCGCACCCTGCGATATCTGACAGCCGCATCTCCAATACTATTTCACGATATCTTGCCCCAAAGGCGAATTGTAGAAGACCATAACACTGGCGAACTTAGTACGTTCAATTAGGACAACGACACCTCATCGTAGAAGAAAACTCCACGACGCTCACAAATACCAAGTCTCGTTACTCCACCAGCCCACATCTGACAATTCTTAGTCTGATCGCCTTTCCCTCGTCGGGGATAAATTACCGAATTCTCTAGATTATGCACTGAGTAAACCTCCCTTCAAGTCATTCACTGCCCGACACGTAGGCAAACATCCTACCATCATATCAATACTGCGGAACAATAGTTTATAGTATCGTGGCAACTTGTGCCTAGCCTCAGAGCTCTCGGAAGTACCGCTACTGAGCTGAAACGACAGAATATCCTTCCACAAGGCGACGATAATAGCTCAGACAACTATGCAGGGAAAAACACCCCGCACTGCATCGGTAGTACCATTACAATTCTTCAATTCTCGATTTATAAGAAAAGCGGTTCACGTCGCACAAGATTGAATAGGAAGGAATTAAAGGCATAAGCCTCCATGGATCAAATCGCACGATGAGGAATCAAGAAGGGAAGTACTCCTAACAGTCTTGCAGCCTCCCGAGGATAAGTACAGACGTCTCCGTACCGATCCGCGAGACTCTACTAGACTTGCTCATGACTCGTGAGACCTTAGGAACCTAGTGCTCTGATACCATGTTGTCACGACCCAAATTCCACTAAAGGCCGTGATGGCGCCGGACACCACTGTCAGGCAAGCCAACCCAAAATACTTAATTAAATCCAAATTTTAATACTCTTGAAAACTAAGACTTCTCTTCAAATCTACCAATTTAAAAGATAATCGTCTCAAATCAAATTAAATAATAAGCAGTTGATACAAAAATACTTTACAACCATCCCAGAACCCGGTGTCACAAGTGCATGAGCAATTTCTAAGAAAACTCGAGTAAAGTACAACAGCTGTCCGGGGTACAATTGGACATAAAACAAATAGAATTCCGAGAGAGACTATACTAGCTGCGGATCGCCTCGAGGAAATACAGCTCACCTAGTCTCCGTGTCAACCATGCTGCTACACCCACTAGGCCACTAGAGGTGCATGTGCCTGTGCAACAAAATTACACAAAAGTATAGTATGAGTACAAAAACAACGTGTACTTAGTAAGTATCCCGCCTAATCTCGAAGAAGTAGAGACGAGATGGAAACTTCGACACTTACTAGAGGTCCAGTAATAATATTATTAATGTGATAACTCACGGGTTTATTAAGAACAACAGTAAAATGCAATGAGTCACTAAACAAGTGAAAGTTCCCTTTTTATTTGAAGTCTCCGGATTCATAACCCATCAATTAACAATTATCTCAAGTCGGGAGAGCAGACAACAAAATCAATAAATCTCAAGGCAAGCAATACAAGCATGCACAACTCATGCCGAGGTCGTACGACCCGATCCAACAATATTTAAAATGTGCATTGCCGAGGGTCGAGCGGCCCGAACCATAGATGCATCTATTACCCCGCTCGCGAATCACACATGCGACGCGGTCAAATTTAACTAACAATCACCCTGCTCGCGAATCATGCATGCGACGCAGGTACACATAGAAATACATGCTCAAACAGTAAATTAAGAATTTATTGGGGAACATTTATCCAAATAAAAGCCAATCCTCTTTTAATGATTTAAGAAAATGGAGTTTAATCCTCTTAGAAATTCATTTACCAGTTGGATAAGATTTAAGAAATTCAACTGTCAATAAGTTCACAGATATTCCAAGTATAGCATGCTTTTTGGGTCCTAGACTACCCGGACTTACACATATTAGTAGCTACGCACGAACTCTCGTCACCTCGTGCGTACGTAGCCCCCACAAATAGGAGCACATAACCAATTATTTCACCTATGGGGACAATTTCCTCTTACAAGGTTATAAAGGAGACTCACCTCGCTCTGGAGTTCCATAACCGGCATTCCACGCCCTTCCGAAGACTTGAATCTATGCTAGATACTCAGAAACTAGCCAATGATTATGCAAATTCATTAATTTACGATAAACTACTCATATTAATCTAATTTATAACAATTCCTAACCCCGATCGGAAAGTTGACAAAAACATCCTCGGACCCACGTGCCCGGATTTCCAAAATTTTCGAAGAATAAGTTTACCCATAGCCTCACGAACTCAAATATATAATTTACCCTCAATTTCATACATAAAAATCATGGACAAATTCCAAGAATATTAATTTTCTAGGTTTTCCCTCAAACCCCAAGTTTCTACCAATTTTCATGCTCAAATCCGCAGCAAAACCATGTATTTAGCGTCTAATGAGCGGGAACAACTTACCTTGACATAGATGGAGAAAATCTCTCTTCCAAAAGCTCCAAAATCACCCAGCCTGAAGTGAAAATGGGAGGAAATGAGCCTAAACTCGATTTTTAAAGATAGCTCACTGCCTCCAGTCCTTTCGCATCTGCGCTTCTCCTTCCGCAGGTGCGGTCCCGCATCGGCAAAATGACCGCATCTGCGGTCCCAGCCTAGCCGCCAGATTCCGCATCTGCGCTTCTCCTTCCGCAGGTGCGGTCCTGCTTCTGCGGCTACATGACCGCATCTGCGGTCCCTTCACTTCCAGTCCAACTTCAGCCTTTCCAAAAAATCCAATTCGATCCGTTAACCACCCGGAATCCACCCGAGGCCCCCGGAACCCCAACCAATCATACCAACCAGTCCCAAAACACATTACGGACTTGCTTGAGGCCTCAAATAATAGCACACAATGCTAAAACCAGGAATCGACCTCCAATCCAAGCTTTATGAACTTTAGAATTTCAAACTTCTACTTTCGATGTTTAAACCTATCAAATCACGTCCGATTGACTTCAAATTTTGTGCACAAGTCATATTCGACATTATAGACCTACTCCAACTTTCGGAATCAGGTTCCGACTCTGATATCAAAAAGTCCACCCCCGGTCAAACCTCTCAAAAACCTTCAAATTTCTATCCTTAGCCAAATGGCTCCAAAATGCTCCACGGACATCCGAATTCACTTCCGATCGTGCTCCCATCACCAGAATCACCATCCGGAGCTACTCCCAGACTCGGATTCCCAAACAGACGTCGATAACACAGAAATGTACTTCAACCCAAACTTATGAAATTTCTTCCAAAATGCTTACTTCCAAAATAGGCGCCAAAACGCTTCCGGGTCATCCAAAACCCGATACGGGCATACGTCCAAGTCAGAAATCATCATACGAACCTACTGGAGCCTTCGATCCCAATTCCGAGGTCGTTTACTCAAAAATCCAATCCTAGTTGATTCATTCAACTTAAAGCTTCCGAAATGAAAATCCTCCTTCTGAATCAATCCCGAACTTTCCAAAATTTATTTCCGACCACGCGTACAAGTCGTAATACCTGAAATGGAGCTGCTCATGGCTTCAAACTGCTGAACGGCGCGCTAGGGCTCAAAACGACCGGTCGGGTCGTTACAAAAACTTGATTTTTATAGTGAGTGGTTGATGTATAAGGATGTTGTTATAAAGATGTCTGACCGTATAAGTTTCAATTATAATTAAAAAAATGGAATTATATCCCACAATTATGTGCTTGACTAATTATTTCAAAATTAAACAACTATAATCTTGTACTAACTATATTCTACAATAAATTATTTATATTACTGAATCAAAGAATTAAGAATTTAATATGATTCGTATACATAAAGAGGATATTGTCTTTCTTATGACTATTATCCGATATTTTATAAACTTAAATAACTTTAATATATTATGTTTTATTTCAAAAATTTGAGAATTTAATATTTCTTGATAAATGAGTGTATAAAAAATTAATTAGTATATAATAATTCATATCAAACAAAGTAGTACTTGTGATTTTCCAATATAATTTAAATAAATATGTAATTATACTGTAACTTTGTGCTTGTAATTATTTACATTGCTCACTAATTATATTCAATCTGAATAATTATAATTTTTTATAAATCTAATTAAACACTAATACGAATCTAATATAATAAAAATAGGAGTATATAACAAACTACTAACAATATCATATAGGATGAAAGAAACTTTAAAGAAAATTTAATTTAGAATATCTTTATTTTATGCAAATAGTTTATTTTTCAGTGTTACTTAACATAAATTATATATTTATTCTTTTAGTAGTAGTGTTTTTACTTATAATTGTTAGCACTTATATTTCTTTGCATCTACTGAATTAAGATGTAGTATTAACTAAGAAATAAAAGAAAGCAAAATTATGTTATATAAATGACAAAGGACAATTGTAATTGGCCAAAGCAAATCACCAAAACCTAAACTACGTTCTAAACTCTTCAGCCGCCAATCCTACCCCTACGTCCCCTTCCCCACTTTTCCAATTCTTTCTTCAACTATGGATAAACTAAAAAATGCAAGAACTACAGAGAAGAAGAGTGAGAGAGAACCCCATAGAGGTAAGCTCGTATCTCTATATTTTACGGTTTGTGAATTTTCTCATACCTACTTGACATGAATTTTTTGGGTTTAGTTTTGCGAATTATTCAGCAATTTAATATTCTGCCTTATTTTTGATATATAGTGAGTGAAAGTTTGAAGATTTTGAAGAGGTAATTTTGGGAGGAGCCATAGTTCGTGAACTGTAACAGCAAAGCAACATTACAAAATTGGGATCAAGATCCTTTAAGAAGTTTATGAAGTCTACAGGTTTTCTTTTTATTTTTTTGTTGCTTTGTACTTTTCTCTTTTATTATATGTTAAAAATTCTTGTAAAAGAATTATCAAGAAATATTTCTTGTCTTATTGATATTCAATTTATATTTTTACTAATCGAACTTGCATCTTTGTATTGAAGTTTAAACTCAATTGTACCTGTTAAGTATTTAGTGAACTCATACAACTGTCAAATGTTGCCTTTCCGGCTAAAGTACCTCTTTTGGCCAAAAAGAATTAATCCATATCAGTTGAAATTTTAGTCTAGTGCCAGACAATATGATCCGCCTCCAATTACAAAGTGATTTGTAATTTAGAAAGCACCAATGAGACTCAGTTAAGATTAAGTTGCAGTACTGATGTTCTTAATCTGTCACGACCCAAACCCCGGTCGTGATGGCGCCCAACACACTGCTAGGCAAGCCCCACCATTTACACAACCTTAACCAAATAACCTAGATGGATAAATAAATATTCACAAGTAAAAATAACAATTTAAATGCGGAATCTCTGAAATAATTTCTAACATCCGAAAAACCCCAAAATAAAATACTAAATAGCCCACAAATCTGGTGTCACGAACATGAGCCTCTAATACAAAATATTCACCTAATCACAAGTCTGTCTAGGAAAGAAAATACGAATAAAAGGATAAAGATAGATGGGAGAGATCAAGGCTGCGAACGCCATGCAGCTACCTCGATACTCCCGAATACTGCTGCTCAGCTAAACAAATCCTCACTCACCCTGTGGTGTACCTGGATCTGCACACAAGGTGCAGGGAGTATTGTGAGTACTTCCAACCCGGAAAGTAATAAATATAAATAAAGTTTGAGGATAAGAAATCCTAAATAACACAAGGTAAAGCTATAAATACAATAACCATCTAAGACAATTATAATAATGCCACAACAGATGAAGAATAAATGACAACTAAATATGCAATGCAACACATAAACCGGTACCTCCAGTACCCCGCTGCGGACGTGCAGCCCGCTCCATTTATTTAACGTCGACGGCGCTCACTGGGGGTGTGCAGACTCCGGGAGGGGCCCCTTACGGCCCAAGCGCAATAATAAGCCGTATCGTGGCATCAAACAGGCCCTCGGCCTCATATCAATATAAATATCATACCACTGCGGCGTGCAGTCCGATCCCATACTCAGTCCAAAATCACATAAGCCTTTCGGCACAATACTATAAAAATATTCAACCCAAACTTCATTTAAAAATATTACTTTAGTTTCTATTTTTATAAAAATGGCTGAGTTTACAAAAAAAAACAGTGTTAAATACCAGGACTGAGTTCAATATCTAGAAATATGGTAATAAACCAGTAAAAATAATCCCTGAAGGATTCAAGTAGTTGGCACGAAGCCCAATTATGACAATTAATCCATTTTTACAAGGATATCACAAAACTACAATCAATTAGGTAATAATTTTATTAAGCGGGACGGACCAAGTCACAATCCCCGACGGTGCTCTACCCCACGCCCGTTATCCGGCGTGCAAGTCACCTCACATAGCACTACATTGTGCAAATTCGGGGTTTCAAACCCTCAACACAGCATTTACATTTATTACTAACCTCAAGCTGGCCAAAGTCCTAGCTTGCTATGCCCTTGCCTTTCGAATTAACCTCCTCGTGTGTCGAATCTGACCAAAACCACAACGAATATGTCACAATAGGCTAAGGGAACATAACCCAATCGAAAAGACTCGAAAAATATCGATAATCACGAAATTTGCAAAACCCGAGCCCAGGGCCCACTTCTCGAAAAATCAGAAAATTAACATCACCGGATTCCTCATCTCGCCACGAGTCTATACATACCAAAATCTCTCAAATCGGACCACAAATGGCCCCTCAAATCTCAAATTTAGAATTTCAAACTCAAGCCCTAATTTCTTACAATTTGGCTATATTCTCATGAATTTCAAGGATGATCCTACAATAAAATCATGTTTTTAACTCATAAAACTTACCTTCAATCGATCCCAGTTGAAACTCTCTTCAATCCCCGTCCAAAAGCTCTCAACAATGCCCAAAAATGGTGGAAAAACGGGTTGGGTTCGCGGATGAAATGTTTTAAAATATTCTGCCCAGGTCTGACCCCTCCTTCTTCGCGAACGCGAGGGCTATCCCGCATTCGCAATGCTCAAATTTTCCATCTGCCAAAAATGCCCTTCGCGAATGCGGCCCACACCACCCGAACGCGAAGCTTTATTCCTCATACATACGCGAACGCGACACGCATGATGCGGACGCGAAGACCAACAGCCCTGAACCTCAATTCCTTATACGCGAACACGATTGGGCTGGTGCGAACGCGAAGCACAATCCTCCGGCCTTCCGCGAACGCGGACCCTCGAACGCGAACGCGTAGAGCAAATTACCTGCCTCCCAATTTCCCTCTTCGCGAACGCGTGACTCCTTACGCGAACGCGAAGAGTAAATTCTCTGCAACACCTGAAATGAGAAATCTGCAGCTTTTTAACTTAGAAAATGGTCCGGTTGACCTCCCGAAACTCACCTGAGGCCTCCGGGACCTCCACCAAAAGCACCAACACATCCTATAACATCATTCAAACTTGTTCCAATCATAAAAACACCTCAAACAACACTAAAACCATCATTTCTCATCGAATTCAAGCCTAAGTTCTTCAAAAACTTCCGAAATACGCATTCGATCAAAAACCCAACCAAATCACCTCCGAATGACCTGAAATTTTGCACACACATCCCAAATCACCTAACGAAGCTACTGCAACTCTCGGAATTCCATTCTGACCCTCGGATCAAAATCTCACCTATCAACCGGAATTCGCCAAAATACTAACTTCGCCAATTCAAGCCTAATTCTACACCGGACCTCCAAAATTACTTCCAATCACACTCCTAAGTCACAAATCATCCCCCAAGCTAACTGAATCATCGGAATTCATATCCGAGCCCTCTAACACATAAGTCAACGTCCGGTTGACTTTTCCAAAACAAACCTTCCTTAAAGAGACTAAGTGCCTCATTTCCTACCAAAACCAACCCAAATCAACTCTAACACCCCAAATACCGATGATGAAACATGAAGAAGCATAAAATGGGGGAAACGGGGCGGTAACTCACGTGACGACGGGTCGTGTCGTCACATCTTTGCAAGCAATATGTAATTTGCTTCATTAATTAATTTTTGAAGCAATATAGTGACTACCTCTTTGCATATGTGATCGGTTATTTTTTGCTTTCGGGTGTTAAAATACTTTATCATTAACAGGCAGATTTGTGAGTTAGAGCAGCAATGACAAATTAAGACTAAAGCTAAAGTGCAGTTAAGGCGGTACTACGTTGGGAAGCGAGGAAGGAGAAGACGGTGCTACTTTATGTCTCAAGCAAGATGGTGTTGTAGAAGAATTACGTATCGTGCATATTTGAAATTTACAATTATAAGTAACTTGAAACTTATTGTGGAGTGTAATTTTTTTAATTCTTAGCTACATTGTAACAATTCTTATGTATATGTTTTGGAATCTAAAATATTTGAAATTTTAGCTGCAGGATGAAAATTCTTGTTACCAATTATTTTGTGGCAAATTCTTTGATTATAGCAATAAAAATTTAGAATTCGAGGCTACAGATATATATAGTTGATAGTTATTTTTTCACTTTCCGTAGAAAATGATTAAACTATAGCTTGAATTCTATATATTTTATGGCAAGAAGAATGAATTCTTAGCTACATACCAAAATTTTTGTGGCAAATACTTCGATTGTAGCTATAAATTTATGAACTCGTAGCTAAATAAAAGAACAATTGCCACGAGACTGAGGTATAAAAATAGCCACAACATATGAATTTTCGTAGCAAACAATTTAATTCTTTTGCCACGATAAAACACCTTGTGGCTACAACATAAAGATTGCTACAAAGTTTATTTGTTGTGGCAAAAGAATAAGAGTTTTTGCTATAAGTATATAATTTGTGGCAAAAAAAGTTCTGTTAATATTGCTACAATACCAAAAAAATTCGTAGCAACAAATATTAGTCCTTAGCCACGAACCATGTAAAGTCTATAGCTAACTTTTAGTTACGCTATTTCTTGCTACGATTGCTACGGAAAAAAATATTGTGGCTAAAGTGTTTAGCCACGGAATTTTTCATATTTAGCTACAATATATTTTGTAGCTGTAAATGCATAGTGTTGTAGTGTGACAACTATATTTGGAACAAGGAGTTCATGGCCGGTGATCTAGTGTTGTTGTTTAACTCAAGGTTGAGGATGTTTCCCGGTCACTGTTCCATTTGAAATTATTAGCGTGATACCTTTCGGTGCAATGGATTTGAAGAACAAGAACCATGAAATATTTCTAATCAATGGTCAATGATGTCGCCCAAACTCACACCACAATTAGGTAGTGAAGCGGTCGAAGCAATAATAAAACCCAACGTGAGTCGGGGTCGATTCCTCAGGGAGTTAGAAATGGGATTAGGTGTATACCTAGTGTAATTGTATAATGTGCCTCAATTTGCACTTCCACATTCTTGTTTGATGTTTCTATTTCTACTTTATACTATTGATTGCAAATAATAAACTAGAAGACAATGTTTTTTATTATGGTTGTTTTCCAAATGGTTATTGCAACAATCAATTGATATATGCTCAAGTCAGGTCTTACTATCTCTAGGTTTGACCCTTTAATTGGGGCTATCAATTTCTTGCCAATTCCTTGTTAGCCAAGTTTTCCTAGACTAGTCTCTCTTTCTCAAGTAGAGACTAAGTCAAAAAGGCATGAATCAATGTTTGCAACCATTAATTCTAGAATTTAAGCATGAACAAGGCATATCACTAACCTAATCACAAATAAGCCCTAAATTAAATACATATTAAGTACCCATACTAGGGTTGGGCTACAACCCTAGCTAAAGATTTAGCTACTCATGAATAATAAAGAAACACAAGAAGAAATGAAGATAGAATACATAATAATTGACTAAAGAAAGAAATCTAATGTTTAGAAGTTAATCTAGTACAAAATTACTCAATACAGTAAAGAAAACGGCTCAGGTGCACTTATCAAAACTAAACTTAACCTAAAAATGACAAAAAGTTCTATTTATACTAAGCTACAAATATATGACAAAAATGCCCCTACGAAGGTTATGCGGCCGCATATTTCTGGTGCGGTTTGCAGAATGAGCTACTGCGACCGCACAATTATCGTGCGGTCCGCATTCTTGGGATCTTGGGCTTGGAACTTCAGGGCTTCTGCGGTCCGCATAAAAATGAGTGCAGCCGCGCTTCTGATTGTGCGGCCGCACAAAAGTGATGCGGTCCGCACTCCTTTACTTTCTAGCTCTCTGATTCTTCAATCTCGCGGTCCGCATAATAATGAATGCCGCCGCACTTGACATCCTGCGGCCGCACAATTTCAGTGTGTCCGCAATCCTTCAGCTGGATCAAAGACCACTCTCTGAAACTCCTGTCTGTGACCGTACTAGAATTGTGCGGTCTGCACTGTTTCCTTGTTTTGGTTCTTGTTCACTTTTGACTCCTTTATGAGTTGATTTTGACTTCTTTGGCTCATTTCCCAATGTTCCTGCAAGCAAGCACATTTCATTAGTTTTTGGGAATACCTTTAAGCATTTTTGAGCTAAAACGCAAGTAAAAGAGAGCAAATAAGCGGTCAGAATCCCTAGTTATCAGTCACCGGGTGAAGCACTACTTGAGAAAAGTTAGAGAGAGTATTTACTTCACTTGAGGATGCTATGACATTGCATCGTGCCACAACGTTAAATAAGGCGCTTCTTGGGAGGCAACCCAAGTTGCTTTCCCTTTTCTCTTTTTTAGTTAGATGTTATTTGCTATTTTTAACTTGATTTGAAGTGTGCTGCAGGGATTAGTATTAGATGAGAAATGGTAGACAAGGTTGTGTCATCAAAACAGGAAATGCGGACCGCGCTTTTTCTTTGTGCGTCTGCCGAAAAAAGAATGCTGCTGCAGAAGCTCTTGTGCGGTCGCAGAAAAAGAATGTCGCACTAGCCTCTCTAACCTTCTAAATTCTCTAAGTATAAATAGAACATAAGGCATCATTTTACATTTTTCCCTCTTTGAAAATTACTGTTGCTCTGAGAAATTGCCTAAGTAACACACACCACCATTTGCCTCACTTGGTTCTTTGCACATTTACACCATCTGGTATGCTTCATTTCATAGTTAATATTATTTTATTTTTAACTTTTGTTTTTTTTTCTTTTTTAACTTCTTTTTAGTCCATCTGTTATTGTATTCCTTCAATGTATCTATGTGGGGTAGTTTTGTACTAGGTAATTGATAAAGCATGCTAGATTGGGGTGGGTTAACTGAATTTCATGTCTATACCATGTTGCTAAGTAGAAATGACCAAAGTTTTTGCATGAGCTGGGTCAAATAGACATGTCCCATATATGTTCTTGATTGTGCGGACCACACTTGGAATTATGCGGTCCACAATCTTCTAATTAGGGCAACTGGGTAGGTGATGTTTTTGCGGCAACACTTCAATTGTACGGACCGCATAATTTTGTGAGAGGCCGGCACTGTATCCGAGGCTTGCCCTCTAAGCTTCTTAAGTACAGGTCGTAGATGAATTTTGCAACCGTAAAACACCTCCGTACTGTCAATCAAAGAGGGTGCATCTGAGCCCCCAACACATCTATGAACAAGTGAGGCCGCACTTGGAATTGTGCGGTCCACACTTATACTTCTGCGGCTATGTTGTCCTCACACACTTATATGAGTCTTCACTGTTCTGTAACATGAGTTTCAAATGAAAATTCTCTCAGTGTATATGCAGACAATTGTATGATCACGAGGCCGAAGTGAATCTACCAAAGAGGGAGGAGAATCTTCATGGGGCAAGGGAAGAGGTGCCTTGCTCCCGAGTGTGCATAAAGTAATCTAAAAGAAATCAACAGCAGGCCGAGGGAAATTATGTATCCTTAACTGAGGAGCACACTAAGGAACAATCCAGGTCACAGAGGTAGTCTGAGCCTATGGATGTGCCTTCCACATCCCACAGCACTTCCCAGGGTTCGGCGAGTAAGACTCATGAGTGTGATGCAGCTGCCCAGGGCTCTGATTTTGATGATGTCCCAGATGATCGGAGAGAGAGAGAAGGTGCACAGGCAAGTTTGGAAAGATCAAAGAAGAAAATTATCTGGGAAGATGGATTTCTTAGTCGGCGAGCATTTTTCGATTTCAGAATGTGGTGGACGGAGAGCTCCTTGACTCCTGAGCGACAGTTCCTCCTCAAAGATCTTGACAAATACAACTCCACAGTTCTGGAGTAGTTTACTAAAAGAAAGGGGTGGATATTTTTTATTGAGAAACTAGTGGATGTAAAGGAGCATCTTGTTCGGGAATTCTATGCCAACACAACGTATATTCTCAAAGGGACAAAGGTCACCAAGGTTCGCAACTTGAAAGTGAAGTTTGATCAACATACTCTTAATGTGTACTTGAGCTTTGATGTTGTGGAGCCGAAAGAGCATTTAGAGAAGTTGGCTCTGAAAGAAGAGGCTAGATCGTGGATTGTAGAGATTCTAGCACTGGGCCCCACTCCTCCTTACATTGATGCCGGGGTACCGATCGTCCAGAACACTTTAAGCTTTGAGGCAAAAGGGTGGATGACCTTCGTGTGCAATAGACTTGATCCGTGCTTCAATGAAAACAAACTGCCCGTTCCGCGAGCTATATTGGTGGCCTCTATTATGGACGGGTACCCGATCGATGTGGTGCCCTAATGTCGGCAAATACCTCCCTTGTGGCATAGTAGGGTAACACCTCTTACCCTTATCCCAGGATTATTACTGAGTATCTGACAGATGCCAAGGTGTTCCAGGCCATTTTATACCAAGGTCAAGCTGACAAGGCCATTTGAGCGGTACAAGCTGTAGGATCCAAGGAACCCGAAGAAGAGTGCTCAGAATTCTACTACTGCTGGCTAGTCTGATGAGCCGGTAGTGGTAGTTTCTGCTCCATCTGATATTGCATCTACTTCAGGTGAGCCTCCTACCAGTGCAGCAACTACTATGCCCGAGCCATCATCCTCAGATCCTACTATAGATCCTACTATAGTACCTACCTAGCTCTCAACAACTGGATGCAAGCAGCTACTTCAAAGTTGTCTGAGATCTCCAGTACTGTTGCAGGGCAGACATCTTCACAAGCACCTCTGGATTCCTTTGACATTGATAAGAAGCTTAGCAAAGTCTCGGACAACAAGAAGGTCATCATGGATTGGGGCTGTGATCGAGAAGTTGACCAAGCAGGTGAAGAAAATGAGAAAGTCCCAGACAGCAAGAAGTTAGTTGATGAGCTTCAAACTGAGGTGACTGTCACGATCCAAAATCTAACCATGATCGTGATGGCGCCTATCGTGTTACAAGGCAAGCCTATTCCCAGAATATTACTACTAATTTGATTATAAGAATTTAATAAAATATATCCAATAATTTAATTCCTGATAAACTAAACCAACTCTAAATATAATTAATATAAAAATACAGAAGCTAGCCCCAAACATCAGGGTGTCA